AGTCAGATGAAATCAAGATCCTGTAAGGACCCATCAGAATCCCCAGGCTACCCTGTAACAGGTCTCCCCCAGAATAAAATTAGAGAACCTGGAAAGAAAATAATGAGTCTTCTATTCTTATGGAACTGGATCCAAAAGGGGTAACAGAACCCTCCTGAGGCTACTTCCCAAAGTGTGATAATCTCATGCCCTTTTCTTCCTTATTACAGAAGCTGAGGACTCAAACTTCTTCCCCTTTCTCCTAAACAGTACCGCCTTGGGATTCCAGCACTCCACCTCCCGAGGGCTGGTTATGCCCTCTCTTTCTCATCACTCATGAAGTCATTCCATGCCATGAATTTGCCAGTCATTATAGGGCATCTTGCCAATGGCTTTCAGCCCTGGGCAAGTTCACTAAGGACTCAATGTGACCAAAGAAATGACAGTAAAACATTCTTGGGGTGAAAGGGTTATACCCAACTTTATTTCCACAGTGGTAGGTCAGTCATTAAAATCCTGTTCACTCAGAGCGAGTCTGCATGCAGCAAGCCCGTCTCTGCCTCTGGGCCTTTCTACCCCGCACTGCCGTCCTCTGGGTCTCTGTCCTTGGCGCTGCCACCACTCCAGCCTTGCAGTCATGCCACCATGTCACCCAGAGCACTGGGCCGAGCTCTTTATAGAGTCAATAGCAGTGTATGTATTGTCCACACGTGTGTAGTGAGCTAGCCAAGCAGGGCCAGGTGAGAATCCTGGCCACAGGAACCTTCACTTTATTCACATAGGAACACACAGAACTGAACACAGAGGGGGCCACAGACACGAGGAGGTTACCAAGTATTGAGAAATGTTACAAAATGTTTACAGTCTTCTTTCCTACTGCCATTCCAAGGGGCAGAAGCCCTGTTGTCTCCTCAGGCCTTTGACTGTGACAAGTACTCAGATATATGGTGGGTCACACGTGGTACTTAAAAACAGGACTTTTATCTCATTTCTTCAGCCTCCAAGTAGCACTGCCATCTTCACCTCATATGGTTGTAGTTATTCTCAAGGGCAAACATAGTCACAACAAAATAGAAACAGTGCACCTATCACCAGACAGAGGTGGAAAATGTATTGCCTGAACCATGATCCAAATAAATGAAAAAGAAATGTGATTACAGCTCCCCTCCAACCTCCAGCTGCACACTTACCACCTTATTTGATGAACATACTTGCTTGTGTGTTACTATTCAGCTCCTCAACCAAGAGCTAACTAACATTATCTACAACATGTTCATTTGCTTCACCACAGCTTCCCAGGATTCCATAGATTTTAATATTTTTGGTTACTTTGTTGTTCCATGGCTTCAGACCTCACACTACATAAAAATATTAAAAAATAATTCTCATTTGTGTCCTGCATTCATCTACTCTGTTCTACATCCCCACCCTGGGCAACCACTTCTACTAGTTTCCTGTGTATTCTGGTGTTTCATTTTTTTAAAAGACAGCCTTATTGGGATAAACTTCACATACCATATAACTTACCCATTCAAAATGTACAATTCAATAGTTTTAAGTACATTCACAGAGTTGAACAATTCACCCCACAACCAATTTTAGAATGTTCTCATTACTCCAAAAAGAAGCCCTTCCCCTTCCCTTTCACTCGTCTCCCCATTGTTCACAGTATTCCCTTTGCAACCTCATCTTTGTAGGGTCAACAGGAATGTCTCTTCTTTCCTTCTTGATTTTAGTAATTTGAGTCCTCTTTTTTTTTTATTTTCGTTCATCTAGTTAAAGATTTGTCATTTTGTTGACCAGCATTTGGTCTCATTGCTTTTCGTTTGTTTTCCAGTCTTTTTGTTAATACAAATATATATTCTTATTTTCTCTTCTTCCTTTTGTAATAGGTAGTGTACTGTTTGCCCTGAACCTAGTATATTGTGAAGGATATACTTCAAGTAGAAGGAAAATGATCCTAAATAGACAGAAGATGTAAGAAATGAAAGCCACGAAAGTGTTAAATGTGTGATTAAATCTTTATAAAAATGGACTGACTAAAGCAAATATGTCCTGCAAAACAGAAAAAAAATGCAATAACAATATATAACTGCAGAAGGAGGTGAGGCTGAATGTATTATCCGTAGGGAGGGTAAAGGGTTAACGTTAGATTTTGATGTTGTGAGTGAGTATTGGAACAGACTTCCAACGCCTCCTCAGATTCCCATGGCCGAATCCTCCTTTCCAAGGTGTTGCCTGCCTCGTACTGCACACAGCTGCTGCCTTGCCCAGCTGCCTGAGCCGGTTGGAGTCCAAACTGCAGCAGACCCAGCCTGTCTGACCTGAGTTTCCCCTCCACCTTCCAGAGCTGGCGGTAATGCCACACACGTGAGCATGAGATCTGGCTTCCTGAGCCGGTACCCACGGACCAGATGATACAGCCCCACGGCTAAACCTTGGCCAATGGGAAGTGTGAGATGGAAGAAG